ATAGCTAACAGCTTCCCTTGTTCATCTCTTATTACTCCTATTCCGGATGGCCCTGGATTGCCCAAGCTGCTGCCATCAAAGTTCAGTTTAACAAAGTCATGGGGTGGGGGGATCCAACAAACATTTGAGGCCTTCCTCATTGGAACAAGTTCTGTTATCTCCTTCCACTTTCTTTGCAGCTCATCAATTGAGAATTCTGCGAACAGTGCCAAGGTTTTCAGCCAGTGTATAACCCTAATGTGGATGACCTCCAGCATTGCTTCCAAACTATTTTCCTTGAAGAAATTGACACAAATACGTCTTTGCATGGAAAATAAAGGCACCCAAAAGTGCAAATGCTACTAGTCTGAGTGCGTGGAAACAAGTTTTATTTGGAAAAATGTGATATTTTACTCTTTATATTTCAAACCCTTCCCCGGCTCAAGAGGAAGCCTGACTGATGGAGGACTTGAATAGGACAAAAGGCTCTAAGTTAAATTTCAGTTGGTTAGCTTGCTGTTATGAAAAAAGTTAAGGGATTTGGACTGAAATCTCAGGAACTTCAGACTTTCTCAAGGGAGAGAAAGTAAGAAAATTTCATTACTTGAGTTCTAGAGGAAATTCTGGTCTGAACTTTTGTAGTTTTATTTGTATTGGTGTTATATGGAGGGTGCTACCATTAAATTGGGGGTCTGAATAGTCTGAGTATAAGTTCCAAGGAGAAAAGCTATCATTTTAGATAAACAAAGTGGAGAAATGTTTGAATTTCTGAAAATCTTTTTGACCAGTAGTTGGAATTTCTGAAATTTCACACTTACCTGAGGGGTGATCATTTCTAGACTGGCCCAGAAACCTGGCCCAACCCACAAATTTCTGGGCTTAGGCCTAGGTTTGTGCTCAGGCCTGGCCCGGGCCTAGGCCTGCATAGTCAGGAAATTTGTGGTCTAGGCCTGGGTCTAGTATATATTTACCATATATAAATACCTTAAGCCAACCCTGGCCCACAATATATGTATATTAATATATATTTACCATATATAAATACATGGTGAAACCAAGGATCCCCATCACTTAATCTTCTAAAAAATGTGAAACCAAGCATCATTTTCAGTTAGGTGTGATTGTTTGTGTACATGAAGAGAGAGAGAGAGAGAAAGGTGCCAGGATGAACATCTCATTTAGAATTTCAGATTGGCGTTGAAATCAACTAACAGCACAGCAGGTTGTTTAGAAAGAGAAATAGAAAAAGACCGATTGTACTGGGGAGAGGGATGCCAGGTTAACCTTCATACTCTGATTTCCCTTGTACTATGAGTTAGTCAGCCCAAGAAGCTGCTGCTCTCGCTACCCATTGCTAGTGCAGGAAGGTTCTTGTACTCTCTTGTTTGACCAATAGATTATTAAATGAATTGACCGTGTTACTGATTGAAATAGAAACATTTTATTGATGATTTGGGAAGCTTGTACTGCTTGTATATATTGATGCTTTTCTAATAAAATTTGAAGTTGCTTATAAAAAAAAGGAAAGAAAATTCTTATAAAATAGATGACTCCATAAACTTAACTGGATCAAAGATCCAGCTAATCCAGTCCGAGGGCAAGCTGGCCAGGAGTCATAACCATCCAGATAAGTCCATGTTTCAAAACATTGTAACATTCTCAGAACTTTATGTACCTGTTTTTCTCTAAACAAGCTAATGAGTCTAACTGGTCAAACAAGTCCTTGGCAGTGCCAGGAACTCCAATGCCAAGGAAGAACTTTGCTAAACCAACAATTTTATCTCCAGGAAGCTGCAAAGATCAAAGACAAATATTAAATCTAACAACAGACAAGAAAATAGCAAGTTAATGAAAAAAATTCACGCAGATGAAGTGATGCCTGAACTCACATTCAGTCTCCCAGATGTAACAGAAGCAAATGATGTTACTCCACGTACTACTGATGACGTAGTTGAAAGAGTGCCCTGGTCCTCAAGTTTATCATCAAAGTACAAGGCCCCATCACCTATAGTTAGCCAAACAGTTCCATTAAATAGATGCTGGAAAGATATACACAAAGGTTGGGCTGACAAAACCCAAGGCTGTCCACAATACTTTTTGTGGGGTTCTAAATCATTTTTTTAAGCAGAAAAGGAAACTTAAGATGATAGGGCTACATTTTTTATCCAAATGCATGGTCTGAACTTATGTTTAACAAGTTCTTAAAAAGATAGGAATGGCAATGTCTCACAAAAGTTTCTCTCAGAGATCTCATGGGGGAAGGAGGAGATGGGAAGCTGAAAACTGGTACAAGAGAAGGGACAGATGTGAAGGCAAGGTCAAGCTTTCCTTACAGTAAGGCCGTGGCGGCAGGAGCATGGCCAGATTTCGGACACACAGAGTTGAAAAAGGTGGAGGACAAGCTGATAATAGTGTTGAAGCATGGCGGAAGGCTCATGGTGTTGAAGCAAGAAGAGAGTTCCTGCACAACTGCTTGAGGGGGCATCGAGATGGTTCAAGAAGACCTGAGGAGGAGGGGTTTGTTTTTTACTGACAGAGTTTCCATGGACTTAAAAGTTTTATCCTGGAATGTAAGAGGTCTGGGTTCTGGAAGGAGAAGATTGGTGCTGTGTGACTCTTTGAAGCTTTCAAAGTTGAAGATTGTTTTGCTTCAAGAAACAAAATTGGAAAAGTTGGACGCTGCTATTGTCCGAAGTATATGGGGGGGGGGGGGGGGGCAGCTTCTGGCAGTGCAGGGGGTTTGTTGAGTCTATGGGATCCCTCTTTCTGCAGTTTATTTCTAACTTCTAGATGGGAATGTTTGCCAAGCGACAAATGTTTATGGACCAACGACTGTCTCCTGGCTGATTTCTGGGAGGAGTTGGCAGATAAGAGGGGCTCCTTGGCCTATCCTTGGGCCATAGGTGGTGATTTCAATGCGACTCTGTCTGTTGAAGAAAAAAATACAAGGAGTGGAAGAACAAATTCGATGAGGTTATTTGCTGATTTTATTAATAATATGGAATTGATGGATATTCCTCTACAGGGTAACAACTTTACCTGGACCAATAATCAAGAAAACCCTACCCTTGTGAGACTGGACAGATTTCTAATATCTTCAAATTGGCATGAAATCTTCCCTGATTTTAGGCAGATTTCCCTCCCTAGACCAGTTTCTAATCACAACCCTATTCAGCTTATCTGTGGTTACCGAGAGAAAATCAGAGTCCCTTTCAAATTTGAAAATGCATGGTTTGAGGAAGACAATCTTATTCCTCTAATGAAGTCTGTGTGGAGTGAGCTTCAGGTGGAGGGTTCAAGCTCCTTTGTTTTGGCAAAAAAACTGGGTGCACTCAAAGAAAAGCTAAAAACCTGGAAATTGGAAAGTAGCTTGAAATCGGATACTGAAAGGAAAGCATTACTGAGTATCATTGAAGAAATTGATAGAGCAGATGAGGTGGGTCCCTTATCTGAAGAATTGAGGCTGAAAAGATCCCAAGCAAATATCAGTTTTGAAAAATTGGTTGTAAAGGAAGAAATTAAATGGAGACAAAGAGCTAAGGTCACTTGGTTAAAGGAGGGTGATAAAAACACACATTTCTTTCACAAAATGGCAAATGTCTGATCTAGAGCCTCCTCAATAAATAAGCTGGAGTGGGAAGGTAGAATTGGGGACTCAACTGCAGAAATTAAGTCACCCCTTCCTATGGACCTTCCTTTCAAGCAGTTGAATGAAGATCAGAAACTCTTGCTTGAGAGACCCATCACAAAGGAGGAAGTTAGGGCATCAATCAAGAAGATGGAAGGTGATAAATCTCCAAGACCGGATGGTCTAACAAACCTTTTCTATTAAAATGTTGGGACTTTGTGAAACAAGATTTGATGAATGTTTTCCAGGATTTTCACTCAAATGCTTCTCTGCAAAGAAGCTTAAATGCCACTTACCCTTGTTCCAAAAATTGACAAACCATGAATATCAAGGATTTTAGGCCAATCAGCCTTTTACACAGTTTCTATAAAATCCTAGCTAAAGTGTTGGCTGAAAGGATGAAAGGGGTGTTAGGCAGTGTAATTTCTAATAACCAAAGTGTCTTTGTCCCAGGGAGGCAGATGTTAGACTTAGTTCTCATTGATAATGAACTTATTGACTCTAGAAGAAGAGAGGGAACTCCGGATTTGATCTGTAAACTTGATATTGAGAAAGCCTATGACCATGTTAACTGGAGATGCCTGGATTTTGTACTGGAAAGAATGAATTTTGGGCAGCAATGGAGAAACTGGATCAAAGTATATATTAAATCCACTAAATTTTGAGTCCTAATAAATGGGCAATCTGCAGGGTTTTTTGGCAGTTCCAAAGGCTTGAGACAGAGTGATCCCCTCTCTCCCTTGTTGTTCATCTATGTCATGGAAATCCTCACCCTTTTTAGCAAGAAGGATGTAGCCTCTGGTTGTTGGGAAGGCTTTGCAATCTCTCCTGAAAGGGAAAAGGTCAACATCCTCCAATTTGCAGATGAAGGTTAATCTGAGTAAAAGTCATATTATCCCAGTGGGCCAAGTATCAAATTTAGAGGATTGTGCAGAGGTGATGGCTTGCCCGGTTGAGTTCCTCCCAGTGAAGTATTTGGGGCTGCCTCTTGGGGCAAAATGGTCTTCCTCTTCGTCTTGGGTCCCAGTTATCGAGAGAATGGAGAAAAAACTGGCATCTTGGAAGGCAAAATATCTGTCCTTTGGGGGTAGAGTGACTTTGATCAAGAGCACCCTCTCTAACCTACCCACTACTTTCTCTCCCTTTTCCCTATTCCAAACAAAATAGCAAAAAGATTGGAGCAATTACAAAGGAATTTTTTGTGGAGGGTTGGGAAGATGAAAAGAAAATTCACCTTGTAAAGTGGGATCAAGTGTGCCTCCCTAAGGAAGAAGGGGGGCTGGGAGTAAGAAATCTGAAGAAATTTAGTTCACCTCTTTAGTAAGTAGTTATGGAGATTTGCTTCCGAAAGGAATGCATGGTGGAGAAACCTAGTAGCTGCTAAATATGGGGTGGAATGGGGTATTGAAGATCAAGAGATCCTCCTGTAAGCCGGGGCAGTTCTCTTTGGACAGGCATAATGAAGAATCTTCCTACCCTCTTAGAAGGGATCAGCCTTAAGGAGGGTAAAGGAGATAGAATAAAGTTCTAGAAGGACCCCTGGTGCATGGAGGTCCCTTTGGCAGATGCTTTCCCTATTCTTTTCCAATGCTCTGTTCATCAAGACTCATCAGTAGCTGAGAATTATAATTTTTCTGGAGGTACCATTATTTGGACCCTCCTTTGCAGAAGGAGTCTATTTGATTGGGAGCTGGAGGAGTCTGTGGAGCTGTTGGGGCTTCTTCAAAACCAGAAGATAGATATGAATCTGGAGAATGAATGGAGCTGGAAATGGAACTCAGATGGTTGTTTTTCTGTTAAATCCTTGGTCATCAAGCTGAAAAATTCAGGTCAATCGAATTTTCCTGCAAATCAGACTTGAAATCAATTTAGCCCCTCCAAGGCTAACTTCCTTGTTTGGACAATGGCTCTTGATAAATGTTTGACTAGCCAATCTGGAGAGACGTTGCATTCAGATTTCGGACCCCTCCTGTGGTCTGTGTGGTTCTTTTTCAGAAACTACAGATCACCTATGCATTCACTGCCCAACTTCCTCCATGGTATAGGGACATTTCGTGAAAGCTCTGGAATGAACTGGGTTATGCCAAGAACAGTCTAGGATCTGCTGTACTGTTGGAGAGTTGAAGGCCTCAACAAGAAAGGAAAATTAGTGTGGAAGACCATTCCTGCAGCTGTTTTGTGGTCTATTTAGGCTGAGAGAAATAATAGAATTTTCTGTAGTAAAGCTAAAAGCCCTGAAGAGTTGGTGCAGAGAGCTGTGGGCAAGTTGATCTCTTGGGTGTCGGTTACTAAGGAGTTTAAGCATCAGAATTTGGCTCACTTGTTTGTTTCTCAGTCTTGGATGAGTCTGTAATCTGATTTGCGCTCAGGCAGTCTTTTTGGCCTGGGTTTTGTTGTATTGTTCTCCTTTTCTATCTGAATAAATTTACTTTACCTTTTCCAGAAAAAAAGTAAAGATACAAACAGTAGACTAATACGACTCTGGATCTCCTGCCCACAAGAACTCTACCCACGCCTACCCACAAAACACTACCTCTGAGCATCTGCCAGAGTTGTCTGATTGTCTTGCATGCAAAGAACACCATCACAGATAAGACAAATAAATTTTTTTGGCAAAGATGAAAAGCTTCCTGGAACAATCATGTGCATGTGTGTGTGTGTGTGTGAGAGAGAGAGAGAGAGAATGTAACATTGCACCGAGTTGATGATCAACTATGAAGACTATCACTTTTAACTGTTGGTAAGTAATGATAGGAGAGGTTTGTCCATTGTGCATATGACAAAAAGCAGAAACATAGTAGAGAAAGAACCCAAAGAAGGCATCACCAAGATGACTAAGCTCCCTTGGTTGGGCACTGTTATGGGCCCGCAAATAGGATCTCGTCACGGGTCGGTCCCAGGGGGAAACCCTCTGTTTTCTCTTGTTCCTCCCTGCTCTTGATGAACCTATCTAGGCGCCCTGATGGTGATTTGTTCAAGAGATCACCTAACTCTCCTTTATTCTCTTTCTTGACTGAATATTCGATATCCTCATTCAGTAATGGTGTCTCCTTAAATAGGAGATTACAAGAGTCCTAATCTTAGGGAGTCTCCATGTTGAATAGGGAGACTTCCAATTCTATCTTGCTAAGGATAAGATAAGCTAATCCTAATCTGATAATAAGATAAACTAATCCTAATATGATAACAAGATAAACTAATCCTAATCTGATAACAAGATAAACTAATCCTAATCTGATAACTTACTAACAAGATAAGATAAGAGCAATAGAATAAGATAAGAACAAGCAAGATGATCTAATCTAATCTGGCGGTGGGTCAGGTTCCTATTGCTGTCGGCGGCGATGGTACGTCTTTCTGAGGAATGCGTCCATAAC